GTCAGCTTAAAATAAATGGTCGTTAGAGAGAGTGTTAAACTGCAAAATAAATGAATGAGAAAGTAAGAAGTGGAAACATACAAAGAAACAAAAACCAAAACATTTAAATTCCATAAGAGCCAACTTCCATGAAAATATTTGTTTTTTAATTAAAAGAAAAAAAAACCCTACCCCACTAAAAATTAATTTAGAAAATAAATACACAGTCTCTGGAAATATTAAGAATAGATAAAAATTTTATCATAAAAATAAAAATCGCAAACTTTCTTCTTTCTGGTTAAGGCGGGCTTTCGTTTGCTTAATGATTGACTTCTACAACAGCTTTCTTTCTTTTCTTTTTATTACTTACAGACTGTGCGGTAGGGTAGGTATATGAGAGTGGTTTAGCCAAATTTTCACTCAATAACTGGCTTCACACTTCGCAGTCAATCAGCGACAACATATTTGTCACCAAAATATCTGTCGTTGGGAAAGAGTCTGTGTAGAGAGACAGATTTATTTAACTATTTTTATGCCTTTCTCGGAGAACGAGGGAATTTAGAGCGGACTGAACACAAAGAAGAACCAATTTAAGTCGGAATTTGAACTCCGTAGTTGCCGATTCCGTTTTCCAAGCAGATTGTGTACGTAGGTGGTGGCGTGGAGGGCGGGGATGTTAAAGTTGTTAATGAATGTAAAAGAAAACCTTTCCCGGGAAATCTTTGAGAATATCAGTATTTTTGATAATGAACTGAACTACGAACAAAAATAAAACTCACTCAGGTAAACAAACATTCGATTTGAGAAACACATGGATAGAAGAACCATCTAGCTAGAGAATAACGAATAATAATTCTGATGTTCACAAGACATGAGGTTCACTTTTGTTTGAGTTTGACTTGACCGAGGGAAACTTGATAATGCACTTCCAATCGGAAAATACCAAAAAGAAAAGTAAATAGCAAAAGTTGGGTACGTCATTTTTATGACATGCAAATTACCAATTAGAATTAGTTAAACTTAAAATGTAACCGAGTGTTCTTAGTCCCCCAAAGAATCCACAATTAAGCTAAGTAGATCCAAGAAAACGTTATTCGACTTTTTACCAAAATTAACAGAACTACTTACTCAACTCATTGACCATTTTGAATGAAATATTGTAAATGTGTAGTCTGAAGAATTTTATAACTTACTTTAGTAGTGAAAGGAGTGAAAATGATTTTTTACTTAACGACGTTAGTAAAAAAAAAAAAAAAAAAAAAAAAGAAGCAATAATGCGAGACTAATCAAAACACGGAAGATTTTCAAAATAAAGCCTGTAGGTCGAAGTATGTGACAAAGATTAATAATCGATTATTAGAAATGTATACTAACAAGTTTATAAACTGGAGGAGGGTGCAAAACAAAAAACACTTTATTTCCACTTCCACCCCACAAAAACAACAGTGAACTGAAACAGTCAATCCTATTCCTAACCGAAGACAAAATATCTGGTCATGATATGGATAGTAAGTGCTCCACACGCACTTTTCATAAGTTTTTTTTTTTTTAACTCTGGAAAAGTGCGACTGAGATATACGCGTCTGTTTGAACGAACTTCTTAGAACATAAAATTCATCTTTGATTGGTTACGTAACAATCTTAAGTTTCATTTTAACTATTTTTGTGCCGAGAAAGGATATTCCTCAAAGAAAAATGAAAAAAAAAAAAAAGTAAAAGAAAATTAATTAATGAAAATTTCATCGGCCAAAGTGTCGAGCGATCAGGTGAAGATATTTGACCAGACAAAACACGAAATTTTACCACCAGGACGACGATGACGACCCAGCTAACTTAAGTGCTTTCTTCTTTCTCTTTTTACCCCATGTCTAGCCAACAACCAGTCAGACAGTTCAGTAGTAGTTCATTATACTAACACTTTTTACAACTATAGTATATAATGACATTGGTGACGGAGGATATCCTCCTCCTTGCATTGTCGGATAGTGTGTAACCTAAATTCTCCGTCCGACACTTGGACCATTCTCTCTACATCTACAATTTCTAAAACTAGGCACAAATGGCATCATAAATGGGAGACATTGGTTCCTCTTCGACCCCACATGAATTCCCGGAAATGAAGATTAGGGTCTTTTACTATAATAATCTCAATTCTCAAGTCTTCGATTTTTTTATTAAAAAAAAAAAAAAAAAAGGGAATATAGATAATCAACAGAATCATTTATTCTTGAATCAATTATTAACCATTATCTGCCGTGAAACAATTTTTCTAGAATTTGAAAAAAAAAAAAAAAGAAATTGAAAAAAATTTACCAATATTTAAAAAAAGAAAAAAAAAGAAGCGAAATATACGTCTATTTTTAAAACTAAAAGAAATGATATTCAAGTGGAGTTGGAGCAATGTAGAGAAAATTTCGAATAAATCTGTTAAGTTGTTAATGTTTTTTTTTCTTTATTTTCTTAGACATCGAAATGACAACAAACCGTTTTTAATTTTTTCAAAAAGGAAAGAACAGCGAACCCTTTTCTTTGAGAAAGTTTCAGATTGAATTTGAAAATCAACCATTTCTAGATTATTTTTTAAAAATCCTAAACGTTTTTACGTTTAAAAAAAGTATTAAATTAAGTATAAAAAAAAATAAATAAAAAAAAATATATAGTTTTAGGATTTTTAAACTAAGCTTGATTCAATGGTTTCATTTTTGTTGCTTATTTCTTAATTGATTTTTGAACTGAAATCCATAAATCCCTAAGTTAAATAAAAGAAAATAGTGAATTTCTCTAGGCTATGTATTTGTTAAATGAATATTATTTCGATAAAACAAAAACTGAATCAAGGAATATTGCTACACCTTTGCTATCTCTCCTTTGCTTGGTATATAAAATATTTTTTTCCTTTATTTTTTAAATGCTCGATTTTTTTAGGTTGAGTAGGTGTAAGAGATGTAATTATGTATATACACAAGATAAGGTAAGTAAGTAGGACGTGAGCGATTAGTCATAGTCATATTGGTATATGTGGTGTAAGGCAGGTAAGGAATAATGATCCTGTCGTCGCACCTTAATAAAAAAAAAGTGTTTAAAGCAAGATGAAATATTAAAAATAGATATTATGATAATCATTACCATGTCATAGACTCTTCTTAAAATTATGAACAAAACGATAAGGTTCTAAATTAAAAATATTTATATAATGATACAAAAAACAAAACAAAAACGTTAAGTATTGTGATAAGTCAGGTTACTTCCTGAGTGAAATATACGTGAAAAGGGCGTGGGTATTTTTTTTTCAACTGTAAAGTTCTTGAAATTTACAAAAACATTTATTTTTGTCAAGCTTGCTTACAAGTTGACAATCAATTGATTATCTCTCCACACCTTTAATACTAAAAATATTAACATTTTCTTGATTGTTAATGTATTGTTTAGTTTACTTTTTTTTTTTTTTTTTACAGTTGCAATATAAAATTACAAGTTTACCAGTAACAGGTTTTTATTTACCTTATTGACCCTATACAACCAAGAATAAATCTTAAATACCAATTGTTAAACCTCTGTAAATAATGCCACTTGTTTTATGGGCATTTTTTGTGTTACTCCTTAAATTAAATAAAATCAAACTGTAAATTTAAAAGCACAGCGGAGTTTAGTGATTATTGAATATCTCGTGTTCATTAAAACTAAAAGAAAAAAATGAAAATTTGTGCGTACAAGAGTTGGATGGAATAGTTTAAAAATGTAAATTTTAAAATTGTAAATCCTACGAAAAATGCGATAACATTTTAAAAATGTCTGTTTTTAAGTGAACGTAAATAGTTCAGGTCAATCATGTGATTTTTTTTTCAATGTGCCTAAAACTTATCTAAATTCGATTAGATACATAAAAAACATGATACAACAAAGTTTATATAGCATATAAAATATTTATGACAAGCTTTATAAACTTTGACAATTCAAAACAACATCGGGTACCCTAGTTAGTTACAATAAAAACAACAAAATCAACACAGCATCCATTCTTATACATATATGTTTGTTTTTTCTTTAATTATTTAGGCCAGGCTATCTAAATAAATAATATTTAATGACAAATTTATCACACAGCTCTCCATAAAACATTCTTTTTTTTCGTCTATATAGTATAGTTCTTCAACAACAACTTTTATCACAACGGAACATATAACTTCTTAGAGAAAAGAAGGAAGGGGGAAGATAAAAACTTGGACTATTATCAATTTATCACGTACACAACAAAACAAATTGTTTCGTTTCATGGGTAATGTTTAAAAAAACGGGTTTTTTGATAATGACAATGTTTTTATTTTCTTAAGGGTGACCTGTAAGTATCCTAGTTAAAAAAAAAAAAAAACTAAACTAAAAGCTAAGCAAGGTGTAAATTTTGGTGACATTGGACCAGACCAGATTCTATAGGTTTTTTAATGAACTTTTTTTTTAACTTAAAAAAAAAGTATAACAGATTGAACAAGACGGGTCTGAGTCATTATTAGTCAATTGAATGAGTATGACCATAATCGTGTTTCTTTTAGCAGCTTTGTTTGAATGCAGTTCATTTGATAAAGCTTAAAAAAAAAAGGGGGGGTATCGTTTCTTTACAAACCATATCTTAGAACGCTTTTTATTTTCAAACTTATTTCCTAGCATGAATTTAGAGACAGGAGAAACAACTTCTTTTTTTAAAATTCACTTCTTTAAAAATGTATAAATAAAAAAATGAATAACATTCCCGAACGCAAAAAAAGAAAGTGAGCTCTAAATTTAATTCCTATGTAATTACAAAAACTTTTTAAAAAAAAATAACAAGACTTTATGTATGAGTACCGAGTGCTAAAAAGTCAAAACAAAACTTTAAAGCCGGCAATTACAGAAAACAAAAGCATACAAACTAAGCGATAATACCTCTAAAATTAACTTAAATGGCATCTAAACGAAGACGGGTCATCTTCTCATGAAAATCACAATGAAAAAAACTTGGAAAGTGTCAATTTTTAAGGGTATCTTACCTCACAGATAACCACCTCTCGACCGACACTAACACCCGTGGCAGCCATGCTGCTCCTGCTGATGCTCCTCCCCGTTGTCATTGTTGACATCTCGCAATGCCACGCCGTCACATGACCTCTGTTACGGGAGCAGGAGGGGATGATGACGTCACATTCCGCGAGATCTCTCCGCCCAGACTGAATTAAATTTGAACTTGCTGATATTGCTGATTTGATTACACCCCCTTTCTCCATTTGAAACGATTTATTAAGAATTTTCAGTTATATTCATCTGACACCTCTTCTCTATCCCTCCACACACACACTTATTAGTTAGCACTTAATTGTGTAATTTATACAAGTAATATGGCAATGTAGTGCACGCGTACGTACGCGCGCACTACGTTATTTTTTTGATTTGGGTATAGTTACAAATTATTAATATTTTTATTTCTTTAATAATTGTATGATTTTAAAGAATTTAAATATTATAAAATTCAAAGTTTATAATAACTTTGTACGAAATTTAATTCCTAATTATTTAAAAGTGGACACTGAGGTCGACACCGAGAGGCGACAGTCTGTTTAATGCTTGAATTGTGTATTGCTTTTTTGTTGTTGTTTTTTTTTTTTTTTTGTTAAATGGCCTGAAGATTGTGTTCAAGCATGAAACAGACTGTCATCGCTTGGTGTTGAAATCAGTGACCACTTTTATGCTATATACCTGATATTGATCACTTTAGTTTTTACCTATAGATATATAGCATAAGTATATTTTTATCATATATATATATACTGAATACTTTAGGATGTAGGCGATCATGTCTCTCCCCAGATACCTTTTCTTTATTGTCTGTGAATTGCCATAACTTTTGTGAATGAGAGTAGAACTGGTTGATTTTGTTTAGCAACATATCAACCTCTATGGGTTATTTAATGCCAAAATCTAAATATTTTGAATGCAACTGAATGCCCTCAACTACAGATATAATGTATCGTTGGTAATTTTATTATAAATATGTATTGGTGGTAAATTTTCGTACTTGTGGGTTATCTGTTGCCACTTTCTAAATTAATTTTCCAACTTTTTCCAAATATAGATAAATAAAAATATACTATCCCAAAGATTCATTTAGTATTTTGAAAAGAAAAGAAAAAATAATTAAAAAGCAATTAAAAAACATTTTAAAAACCAAATCTAACTTTATAAAAGATCACCAATATGTAAATTAAAAAGTGGTGACAGATAACACACAAGTAACTAATTTTTTTATTTAACAATTTATTGCTGGTATTTTTGCTATAAAATGTATTTTATGCTTGTATAGGGTTTTGTTTTTGTTTGGGGGTTCACTCTTTACCCATAGCTGGGACCCTAACAGGTGCTACCACTACAGGTCACAGTGGATCTGGGAACAACAGCAATTAAGAGATGGTTCCATGCTCTTGAAAACCTCCAATCTCCTGATCAGTGGCCTGATGCCAGATGTAGTTTATCATCATACCCAGGACTGATAGTGGAATTGTTATTTGTTGTCTTGTTTAAATTCAGAATGTTTGAGGCTAGGACATAAAGTTATAGATTGCTTCAAAATTAAGGATCACATCAAGATAAATGTAAAGAACTATTGTAATTTCTTGGAGAAGAGGTTTTTGAAATGATAAGTAATATAATCAAGAAACATTAAGTTAAAGATTATATTGACGCTAAACAATATTTCTTCCCATTTTGCAAAACTGACTATTACTCAGTTTGCCCAAAAAGGTTACAAGAGATTTTTTCAAATCATTTCACCCCTAGCAAGGTGATAATGCCACTAAGATGCAAAAGGTTGCTAGGAGTGAAAGAGAATGAGAAAACCTTAATGAGGAGAAAGGATAATAAAAGAATAGGATCCAGGAAGACATTAATAGATGGCAATTGACATTGCATCGTATTGCATTTAAATCTTTGAAGATCATTGGTGGTAGGGAAGCAAGAAACCAGAAGAGAGTTATGGTTACATCTAGTTATTTTAACAGTAAAACGATGAGACCTAATTGCCAATCTAGTAGCACATTTAAATTCATGTGGTCGAAGCACCAAGGATGAAAAATATTTATAGAAAAGACGGAAGGAAGCCACATCACAGTAGTAAGAAAGTGATTTAAGTTGTGATGCCAGGTCAGTACTGATAATATTACAGACCCTTCTTTCGATTTTGTTGAGAATCTCAAGATATATAGCATAAACACTGGACCAAATAATGTACAAATGAATGGTAGATATATAAATGTGCAAGATAGATTCTGGCAAGAAAAATTGTTTGGCACAACACAGTGAACTAACTTTCCTAACAGCAGACGTAGCAATTGATTCAATATAATCATGTCAGTGGAAAATGTGACACTAATAAGGTACAATGAGTTGCTCTTTTGGAGGTTAACACCAGCCACACTGATGGAAGGCAAAAATGATTCTCTATAAGAATTAAAACATAATAGTTTCATTTTGGAGATCTACTGTTGCAATTAGTTGGTTTGCTTGACAGCATGAAATACAAGTTATCCTTAATATTTTTCATAGGGATATCATATTTTCCTCATATAAATATATCCTGAAAATTAGTTGAAGAATCTTCTTCTATGTGTAATGTCTTTTTAGGACATTGGCGATCATGGCTCTCCACAATTTCGTGTCCTTTGTAACTCTTAATAACTTTTGTCTTTTTGTCATCTCTCCCAAACCCTCTTCCACCAGCCATTCACTCAAGCTTATCAGGTAAGTTATGAATTATTTTCCTCTATCTCCCTTACCTTCAATCTGTCCTGGGAGTATCAAATATTCCAAGCCCTCTTTCCTCATTATGTACCCTAGAAATTTCAACTCTCTTCCTGATGTTAAATATGTGTCCTTTTTGTTACCATTGTCTCTAGAACTTTATCATTGCTCACATGTTTGGTTAATGGTATTCTCAGCATCTTTCTGTAGATCCACATTTCTGTTGCTTCAAGTCTCTTCTTTATCTTTGAGGAGATTATTCCAGCATTCACTGCCATATAAAAGGGCTGATATTACATAGCAGTTCAGTACTCTTTTATTTTTGTTTCTAACAACATTTTTCTGTTTCTTAATACTTTGCTTGGCTTTTAGAAGGCATCTTTTGCTATCCCAATGCATCTTTGGATTTCAGAGTCACACTTTCTCAGATATCTAAATTGTTGCACCTGTTTGATTTGGGTATCTCCAATTTGTAATCTGCATGTTGGGCTGTTCCTTTTGCTGACAACCATGCATTCAGTCTTCTTGCAATTGATGTTTCATCCTTTCTTCTGACTTTCCTTTGCTACCATCTTGTAGTTTCATATCTGTGTCTGCTACCAACACTGGGACATTGACATATCTTATGTTGTTAAAATTGTGACCACCAACAATTAATCTTGACAGGTTCAGATAACACATTGTTTTGTATAGCAAATTCTGACATAGTATGATATAATGTTTAACAATAGAGCAAATGAAATCAGTAAACAATGTTGAAAATTCCAGCTGAGTTAATTTGTGTTCTCTTCTCACTAAATTTATGGGAAAGACATAAATCCATATCTCCCTATAGGTCAGTTCCAGTATTACTCTTATATAAATTGTTACATATAACTTGGACAGGAAATGGGCTTCCATATTGTTCAAGTAAAGGCTATGAAGAACCCAGCAGGCTGTTGGTAATAATCTTCTAAGATGGGAGATAATTAGATTTCATTAATTCATTGATAAGTCTAAAAAGTGATAATGAAAAAACTATTTATTTTTGCAGAAAAAATATCAATTTTTAAATATAATATTTCTTTTTCAGTACTTTTAAACCATCCACATATATTAATCATATAGATGGAACATTATTATAATAAAAATTTAAAATCAAAATCCAGTAAATGACAATTTTCAAGCTACAGATTAATGCCCTCATATACAAGAGTGTGCTGGAAAATTTGCAAAATTTTAACACATGTCCATAGAATCATTTTTGGAAGAAGTGCTTTGCACACACAAATTGATATATATATATATACATATATATATATATATGAAAATCGATTTTTGTGCATATATATATATATATATATATATATATATATATATATATATATATATATATATATATATATATATATATATATATATACAGTGTAACCGGATATAAGAGAGTTGTCGGGACCGGAGAAGAAGTCTCTTATATTCGGGTTTCTTTTATATCCAGGTTTGGTCTATTTTGTTTAGGTAAGTATGGCTCTAATTTGGGACCAGAGAAAAGCTCTCTTATATCCAGGTTACACTGTATATATAATATGCACAAAAATAGATTTTCATATATTGTTCCTCATTCTTACCTGATAATTGCTAACTTGCATGAACAACTGCCAGCAGCATCAGAAAATCAAGGGTTACATGCCTGAAAAGTTTTATTATATACATGCATATATATATATATATATATATATATATATGTGTGTGTGTGTGTGTGTGTGATAAAAATATAGTTTTGTAGTATGTTATACTTATGGCTAAAAATGCTCAATATCAGAGATAGAGTGTATATAAATATAAAAGTAGGCACTGAGGCCAACACCAAGGCCTGAAGATTGTGCTGAAGCATGAAACAAATTGTCACCATTTGGTGTTGACCTTAGTGTGCACTTTTATATATATATATATATATATATTTATATATATATATATATATATATACACATATAAATTAAATATATTAAAAAACAGACAACTCTAAGGGTTCATGGGATTATAATTTATTTCCTTAGGACCAGGATTTTGGTCCTAATTCATCAGATCTCCATTTTCATACAAAAATATTGGTGTGTGTGTCTGTGTGTGTTAAATATAATATATGTATCAAATAATAGCAATGATGTAAAATTTAGAGAGTTCAATGTAAAATATGAAAAAGTTGTATAATACAAAACACAAAATTAATAACAACTTTTAAAACTATACTTCTGTGACAGGCAGTTACATGCTTATTTACAATCCAGGTGGAGATGAAGAACAATCCAAGAGTAATTCCTCTTGCATTTTTCCTGTTATGGAGTGGGTTCACAGTGGAGGCTTGTATTTTTTAGTAAGTCGGTCCTAAAAAGGGTTCGACGTACAAAACGTTAGGAACTTCATATAGTAGGTATGACGCAGAGTAAATCTAGTTGTGGTCGCTGATACTCTAGTATCCAACTAACGTTCGTCTGGCATCGACTGACTGACCGAC